AGCAGGACAACTTTGTATTTGATCCGCTGTGGCACTGGCAACCAGTGTAGATATTGGAGATTTGGTGTGATGTGATCATGTGTCGCTGTTCTTGTTGCGACTCGGGCTGCTGAGTTTTGTACAACTTGTAACTTCCTGATCAGACATGATGGCAAACCTTGCAGGAGTGAGTTACAGTAGTCGATGCGTGACAACACACAGGCATGGACCAAGGAGATGGCGGTTCTTTTGTTCATGTACTTTCGTACCAAGGCAATGTTGCGGATATGAAAATAAGATTTCCTGCAGACAGAGTTTATGTGAGACTCAAGTGTCATGTTTGCATCGAAAATGACACCGAGATTTCGGGCCTGTTTGCTTGGGCTGATCTTATGGTTGCCGATGTGGAAGTCTGGTAATACAATGTCGTGACATGAATGTTTGGGCATTATGATAAGAAACTCGGTTTTGTCTCCATTTAGCTTTAGATAATGGGATGTCATCCATTCTTTTATCTCGTCAATGCATGTTTCCAGCACTGTGAAGGTGACAGAAATGGATGCTTTCACCGACGGTTTGAATGCCATGTATAGCTGAGTGTCGTCTGCGTATAGATGGAACGAGAGTCCATGTGATCGTGCGATGTCACCGAGTGGTGAAGTGTAGATGGTGAACAGAATGGGCCCCAACACTGAGCCTTGCGGCACACCATACAGCAAATCTGATGACTCGGAGGAATGACCAGCAATGACAACACGTTGTCGTCTGTCAGTCATATATGAATAAAACCAACCCAGAGCTTGTCCAGTGATCCTTATTCTGGTTTGCAAGATGTCAAGCAACATGCGATGATCAATGTGTCAAATGCAGCTGACAGGTCTAAAAGAACAAGAACGGCTGCTCCGGTCAAACCCACTGCTTCCAGGATGTCACTTTGCACTTAGAGAAGGGCGGTTTCAGTACTGTGATATTCACGGTATGCGGATTGCAGTGGTTCAAGATGGCTGTGAGTAGTGAGGTGTTCTTTCAGTCTTGTAGCAACCACACGTTCAAGGACTTTGGACATAAAAGACAAATTATAGACTGGGCGATAGTTTGACAGAGTATCCTGATCAAGGCCCGGTTTCTTAAGAAGAGGTGTAATGATGGCTTCTTTGAGTGACACAGGAACACACCCTTCACTGAGCGATGCATTAACTATGTGAGTCATTATAGGGACAATGGTGCTGATGCACTTCTTGAAAATCCAGGTGGGCATGGGATCCAGACTGCAAGAAGTTTCAGGGCTCTGTTTGATGATCTTTGACACCTCTATCTCGCTTGCTGGTCGAAACACTTTAAGTAACACTTTCTCTTCATCCTGGGATGTATAGTTGTCCTGAACTATGGGTGAGCTGAGAGATGATTGGATTTTCAGGATCTTATTCGTAAAAGAGTTTGAAAATTGGTCACACAGATTTGCTGGAGATGAGTGTGATGGAAGGGATTTAGTCTTTTCGCTTGTAGAGTAGTTTGTTTGCTACCTTGAACACAGCTTTCTGTCCAGATACATTTTCCAAAACACTATTGAAATATTCACGTTTAGAGAATTCCACTAAGGCTGTGACATGAAGTCTATAGGAGTTGTGAATTTCTTTATCTACAGCAAGACCTGTCTTCCGCATCCTTTTCTCCAACTGAAGACGTTTACGTTTTGCTTTTCTAATGTCATCATTGTACCACTCAGCGTTGTTGTGGACAGTTATGGTGCATGTTTTCTCAGGGGCATGTATCTCAACTGCTGCTTGTGCACATTCATTATAAACATCAACAGATTCTGAAGACGATGAATTGCTCAGTTGAGTTGATTGAAGAAAAGTGTGAACTGAAATACTCGATATCAATATCTTTCAATTTTCTATAAGTAATTGTTTTACGTTCACGTTTAGGTGAAGAAGATGTTGTAAAGTACAGCAAAGTGATCAGATTGTACAGAATGATCAAGTTTGATCCTACTCACGTTCAGCTCGTCATGTCTGGTGATAACTAAGTCCAGGGTATGGCCGCCTGAACGGGGTTGGGTCTGTGATGTGTTGGAGCAGGTTGTAGGTGTCTATAAGCTCTAGGAACATTGCAGCATCCTTGTTCTGAGCATTTTCAACGTGTTTCAGACCTCGCTGCGCTACCCGTATGCGCAATTGATAGTATAAGTATAGATTAATCAACAAAGAGGAAATCTTTTTTTACTCGATAATGTTTCCATCTTCATTAATTTGATAACAAATGAAAACATTTTGAAGTTTAACCATCTGCCAGTTGTGAAAAATGTTAGGACTGAAAAATAACGAAGTCAATGTACGTCCTTACATTTTGTCTTTATAATCCTAATTAGTTTATTATCATATTTGTATACATTTTGAAACATAATAAAATGCACGCGATCTGCTTATAACACGTCACAATTTCATTCTGACTCACAAAAGTCCAGAAACTCTCCGCACTGTGGGCACTTTCTGACAAGGGATTTGACCAAATTAAACATGCAGTTGTTATGAATGTATGCCAAGGATGAAAAATGAAATTTTTCTTTTCGAAAACTTTTAATTTTAACTCCTCGTCCATGGGCTTTGCCCATGGGCGAGAATGTTTAATTTCGATCAGAATTCATGTTTTGGAGGTTATAAATGAATGAGTGTATGCTTGTAAGCATCATGACACAAAGTTCAACTCATTTTGACTTAATTCGACTAACTTAGAGCGATATTAAAAATCTGGCCCATGGGCGAAAAATATGTTGGCCCATGGGCGAGAATGTTTAATTTCGATCAGAATTCATGTTTTGGAGGTTATAAATGAATGAGTGTATGTTTATAAGCATCATGACACAAAGTTCAACTCATTTTGACTTAATTCGACTAACTTAGAGCGATATTAAAATCTCGCCCATGGGCGAAAACATTTTGGCCCATGGGCGAGAATATTGACTTTTACTCAAAATACATGTTTTTCCATGTTTTGAAGGTTGTAAATGAAAAAGCGTATGTTTATAAACATCATGACACAAATTTCAATTCATTTTGACTCAATTCGGCTAATTTAGAGCGATATTAAAAAATTGCATTATTTACGGTAACATGGATTAGCTAATAGGGCATTGCCGGGGAGACCCACATTCACACGATCACTCAACCATACCCATTGCCGGTTGAGCCAAACCATTTTCAACTCTTGTTGTCTTAAAAGTGGCTTTCCCGGGCTATAACTATCAGCACACCCCAATCCGACCATCTGTCATTAATTACCTGTCATGAGCTATCAGTTGTATTGAAAACTCTCGCCTATTGTTTCTTTTACTTAATTGTTTCACGGATAGGTATGTAGTCACTCCAAATTCACCATATGTGCGTGACTGTCCTCTCCGACGTCCGCGCCCACCTCTCAACCTAGCAATCTCGATCCACTTTCTGCTCACTATCAAGCTTCATCTATAACTTCACCCTCTCTCCAACCACCTGTCTTCTCAGAGGTCCGCGCGCCTCTCTATTCCTTCATTATTTCACACCAAGGGCCTGTTCGATTATTGCGAAACTGGTTTTGGTTTCTGAAACTGGTTTCTCCTGTTATAAACGAGTGTCTAGTTTCGGATATATGGTTTCAAAGTGAAACTAGTTTCTAGTTTTATAAACGAGTGGATGGTTTCACCATCCGGTTTCAAAATCGATACAAACTATGAGGAACGAATAGAATGACAGCATTGCCAAAGGTAATATTTTTGGGTCATTTTATCAGGGAATTAACAAATAATAAAGAGATGAGATGCTTTTGGAAGTAAATATTTGCGTATATGTAATTATACTGTTACAAGTAATTTTATGTATACAAGTTACGTAAAATAGTCATGTTCAAATAGACTGGGGTTTTAAATAATATTTTCGTAGTTCTCAGTTGATTTTATCATTATTTGGGTTACAGAAATTGATGCTCTATTTTGCCACCAAGATTGTTTCCGCCATGTTTTTTGTGAGAGAACGCGAAACCGAAACTGTGAAACCTGCCTCGGAGATGGTTTCGAAGTTTCAGAACCCAGTTTTAGGTTTCGCCATAAACGAGTGCATGGTTTTCCAGAAACCAAAACCGGTTTAGCATAATCGAATAGGCCCCCACTCTACCTCCCAACAACTACTGTCTCCTCCGAGGTTCTCGCGTTTTATGGATATCATTCATGAATTATACAATCTGATTAGCTCTGAAATGTCGTATAACCAATAAAAAGAACATGTTGTCATAAAACGTGTCATATATTCAATGCTCATCTGTACATTTAAACATCATTAGACCCGTGAACGTCCGGATTAGAATATTGGCCTTCAGTAACCCATGCTTATCGTAAGAGGCGACTAACGGGATCGGTTGGTCAGGCTCGCTGGCTTGGTTGAGACATGTCATCGGTTCCCAATTGCGCTGATCGATGCTCATGCTGTTGATAACTGGATTGTCTGGTCCAGGCTCGATTATTTACAGACCGCTGCCATATAGTTGGAATATTGCTGAGTGTGGCGTAAAACTAAACTCACTCATCCAACTGCTCAGATCGATGCTCATGCTGTTGATCACTGGATTGTCTGGTCCAGACTCGATTATTTACAGACCGCCGCCATATATCTGAAATATTGCTGAGGGCAGCCTAAAACTAAACTCACTCACTCACTACAAACTGTGAAAATTAGGAACACCTCTAGCTACCAACAATGTCAACAAGAACATAATGGAGTCCCTGCATCAATACATCTTCAAGACTAACGAATTGATAAATTATTCTAGACCAATATCTGTACACAAATAAAGAAATGTAACTGCAAGTTCATGGTTCCTAAGCACGTACAATGCACATTTAGCCTACCTCTGTAATAATGTCTATCTCTGATTGATTCACGTGACCTTGAACAAATGGTGGACGGAAAGTCATTGGAAAAAGTCATGGAAAAAGTCATAGGAAAAAAGTCATAGAAAAATAACTATTATAAAACATCATTGGTGCATAAGGCAAAGAGGACAAACACGTCAGCAATTTGTGCAGTAATCTTCAACTGTATTCACCATCATATACTTGCTTACAGCAAGCACTAGTTGACTCGATGAATATCTTGTGTGTTCTGAAATTAACAGTTAAACAGCTAATAATACACATGCCTCACGTTTAAATATACTTAAAGTTATAAACTTTCCAATTATGTCATGTACTTGACATAAATATCCAAAGCATCCACACTATTACTGAAGGCTGAAAATAATACCTAGACAGTCTGACACTGACACTGGTGCATTACTATCACTGCTCTTACACCTTTCACAAAATATGCAAAATTAACTCTTTGTGAAAATACTAGCAAAACATAATGAATAATTCTTACCAGGCACTGCTCTGACATGAACGATTATTATTTCGCTAATGTGAAACAAACAAACTCACATGAAGGTATACCTCGCACATCGAAGTGCACGAAAACTGAGAACACTGTGTAAAACTAACACTACAACTACATTAATTTACATTTAATGTTCACAACTTGTTGTTACTTTACTGTATTAAACTTGTTTCTGTGACACAGAATTGAATAAAATACCTGAAGAGTGGTGTCTTTACACAAAATTGCTCATAGGCGAGTCACATACAGGGTAGACCATGCCGTCTGTGTCGGCTACATGAAAACTCCGCGCTCTCCATAGCAGGGAGACATCATTATATACTTCTGCAAGGGAGAAGTCATTGCTATGACAAACCATTAAAGTTCAAACTTCTGGTTGAAGATTATCATACACTATAAAATAACTATTCTCAACAGCCTTTTTGTAATTATATGATGTGCCATGTACATATAAACATAACTAAAAATAGTGAGTGAATTTGGTTTACGCCGCTTCAGCAATATTCCAGGACTATCGCGGCAGACTAAGAAAATAAAGATGATCTATGCTTATATCAAGTGTTTGAAACTGGCACTAATGACTGCTGTGGATACACGTTCATTGAGTAATGGTTTTCTGTTACTGTATACATTTCCTATTCAATAAGACTGAATTAAATTCTCAACAATCATGTTCTCCAGTTATTTACTTTGTTTATACTATTTCACTTTCAAGTTAATTATTCCTTTAGTGTGACGCTGTAAGAAATTGGATCTTATCAAAACAGGAGAAATGAACAGATTATTATTTGTTTAGTTCTTAACGGATTGTGGGATTAAAAGTCACAAGTCCACATGATTGTTTGTTTAACTAGCTTTGAGCTTGACGATATCACACCGATTAATGAACTCATGGGATTATCAGTTAATGCTTTTACTCATATGGCTTCCTTCAAGCAGCTAATATAAGACACGCTGGCCGTAACACTGTGACTCAAACTCTTCACGGCATTGGCTGGAACATTCGGTTAAATAAAATATGCTGGGACAACTGACTGATGTAGTGCTGTTGCAGATGAAAGTGTTATGATGACAGTGCATTTTCTGATGTCATGTATTTTACTTGAATGATCACATTAATTTTATAAGTTAGGTTCAAATGTGGTGGTGCTGTTGACGATAATATTGTTATGACTTGTTAAATAGATACATTATCAATGCTGATCTTTTTGAGTTTATGACTTTTTTCCTATGACTCTTTTTCCTACCCAAATCTATGACATTTTCCATGACTTTTTCTTATGACTTTTTTCTACATCCGAACAAATTACAATGTATGCCGGGTGCACGGTTGTGCACTGCTTGTATCCCGCCCCATGGAAAAAAAAACGGTATCTTCCCATAAGATAGACCTCCCAAAGACAAACCGCTTAACACAGCACATTTTATGGTTGGATTTGCATAAGGCTTAATGAAGCTGTACCCTCGATAATATGCATCCATGGCAGTCAGTGAACCGTGAAGCAGTGGTTCAAATCGACTAGTCAATTACCATGTTAGTGAAATATAGGACTGAATTTCATGCTTCATTTACATTAAAGAGATTTAAGATATTTTGGCCTAAGGTTATGTATTTATATGGTTTTATAAAATCTTTCTATGATGTATATTTTGACCCTCTAGATAGCAGTGTCTGATAAGCCTGTTCAGGCTGGATGTATGTAAAACATTATGTGTTTATTTTATATGTATTTTATATCTTGTTTACATACGTGGGACAATTTAACAAACTATGTCTATCTGTCTGTCTTTAAACATTCGTTAAGATAAATTCTGTTTACTATTGTGATGCGGTGTATACGGGGATTTTTGCGTCCCGTTTTATCCACCTAGCCGAAGGCGTCAGTGACAGTTGCTACTACTTATGATAGGAATTAATTTGACGTTTTTGTGTATCCAGTTCTTGTGTATTCTGTTATATTATATATGTACCGGTGAGGTATTAATAAAGCAATGGTTTGCTTGTTTACCAAACCAGATTCTCTGAGAATATAAATATGTTTAAACCATATGTTCAAAATTGAAATACAATATGAACATGCACACAATAGCAAAATTGCCAAACAAGGTTTTCAAGAGCGTATACGCATAAATGTGCACGTCTTGAGATAGGTCAAAGTTCCTATTCCTATCTCAGTAAACAGGGTTGTTCAATCACACATATATACACACCAATTTTGCATGACAAATAAGTTAATGCACAAAGAGAATTTAACACCTTTTCGACACCTTATAATACAATCAATTCGAGATTTCCTTTAGAATGTACAATATTTGGCTGCGGGATAAGCCCAGTCAGTCTCTTTTAAAAAAACCCACCCTCGCGAGCACCTGTACATCTCACACCTAGCCCAGGGTGATCAATGGATTGTATATATGGAAAGCAAAATACACTTGAAAGTCGTGGCTGCTTAACTCCAATAGACAAGACCAACGGATGGGACACAACGACTTTTCGGCGGAAATTGGTCGCAGGCGCTTTGCGGAAATTACGTAACTGAACGCGGAGATACACTAAACGTCATCGTTCCGCTCCGTGACCTCGTCTTTGCGAGCTACACTGAAATACTCAACTGAGGTGAAACTCAGAATGATGAAATTGGAAATGAGGAAGAAACCAGCTAAATCAACATGTGGATGACAAACAACAACTAGCGAAAATCTCTCATGAATTCGTATGACAATGCAATATCTGTTGAGACCATGATAATTTGAACAACGGAGAAAGTTATATGGATATACAACTTCTTTATCATAATGTAAGCGGCGTTTCGGTGGTGTACCCCCAACAGGCAGCAGGGTTACCTGGGATAAGAGGACACACACATGAATGAGCGTGCAGGGCAGGTTGTTCCGTGTGGAAAATGGTCCAGGGTATTTTGGCTGCCCATACAATTGACGCTGTGACGTCATTCATTCATTTATTTCAATATACAAATTATCATCATCATCAATCTCATCAACAGTATTATGAAATACAACCATTAGGCAATATTAGCACTACCATCATGATACAGACATACATTATTACAAAATTTCACATTATACACAATATCACAAGCATACATCATTATTCATAGTCCCACAAGGTGCGACACACCGTAAGCAAGTGGAGTCTCGACACCATCTTGCAGCAGTTTATCCTCGCTGTCTAGCCGTTCTTCAAGCTGGCGATATTTGTTCTTCTTAAGCCTCACACAGCCACCACCCTGCAACTGCATCAATGTTATTTCTGTGTAGTTCTGTTGTGACCTTATCAGAATGATATGTCAACGAGATAAGTGATGTGTTCAGTTTAAACATAACATCAATCATTAATTTAATCACTCACTCGTATTAGTGTCAGTTCAGGTGAACTGTGTTCACGAGCTCAGCGCAGTGGTAAGGTGAACTGTGTTCATCAGCCCAGGGGGTAACTAAAAAGTGAATCACCTGTTGGTTTCAAGAGATTTAGCATGGTTCAGTGACCTGAAACCTTTAAACAATATCTGCTGGCAAACTGGGGACACCCCGTTTCGGCGTAGCTGCTAAAACCGTTATCAAGCAAGTGATGTCTACTGGGTAGTCCCGTAAGTTTAGACCTTTGGGTCGAGGTAAAAATCCTTGGATGTTTGATGTTGTGACGACGGTGTTGTTTTAAGGAATAGGACACTAGCTTTCTACCAAATGTAAAATGTGTTAACTCAGCTCACCCAGGAAACGAAATAAGACACGTGTACCAGAATGTGTTTGAAATTGCCAGTTATGGCAAATGCACAATTAGACTTCAAAGTTTTCCCTACATTTCGTGGTGGAAGATACCTTTGTGTAAATGGTTATATGTTCATAGTGAAAAAGAGGAAAAGGGGAGAATGGATCTCTTGAAAATGCATGCAGAAAGACTGCATACAGATCAACACTCTCAACTGTCTTAACGACATAGTTTCTAAAATACCAAGAGACCACAACCACGGACCTGTACATAACGAAGTCAAGGTAAATCTTTTCGGCTGTAGCAAAAATATTGACAATTTTTAAAAAGGTAAAAGCAAACTCAATCTTGAATATATTGTGTATTCCTCATTGCCTAATGTAAAGACTACATATTAATACTATGGATATTTTAATGTATAGTTTAAACATGTTTTCTTCAAGTAATCATGACGGGATTGGCAAACAAACATAAACATGCATGTCAATGCCGCTCCATAACAATAATACAATTACATAGATAGTGATGTACACTGTGTGCAAAACATAATGTGTGCAAATCATAATGGAAATCCACAAGGGCAATATTAAAAATATTGCATGCAACTTACTCTCTGGTGTCCTCCGATCAGTTAGACGTCCCAGACACGTTAAATCAACAAAAGTTATGGTTGGTTGCACTCAGGTACACTGCACTGTTACCTTTATTGGGTAATGGATTGATCCAAAGTTATGTGCATAAGAATATATTAAGCGATATAATTAATAGGGCTGTAATGATGCATCAAACTATCGATGAATTGCAATTATTCCGAAAGCAATTAATCGATGGTAGAAATGAAAAACTATCGATGCATCGATAGTATGTGTGACTATCGATAGTTTAGTGATGGTTATTTATTCTTATTAAATATTTGTGTTGTTTTGATTTTTTAATTGTTTAGGTGCAAACTTGCATTTCATTGAGTTTATGTTTTAACTGTTTACTCGATCTTGGTTTCAAGTTTCTTGTCAGTTATTCATAGGGGGAGCAGAGGAAGCCCAACAGCCCGTGGTATCCACCTCTGTACCTCTGGGAGTAACTCAGTTAGTTACATGGGAAATCTATAATCCTGTTTTGATCAAAGTGAACATTATGAACACAAACTGTGAGAAGCCGAAGTCAATAAACATTAGTATTCTGATCAAAGTATTTCTGCACAAAAGTAACAAACTCATAATTAGTGTTAAAATATACCACTAACCACTAATATGAAAACATCTCGTTAGTCTATGGGATAGGTCTATTACGTCAGTGGGTAAAACTAGGTTTGTAATCACAGTCACGCCTGATTGGTCCAAAGTTGTCTGATAATCGGCGTGTCTGACAAATGGGATCTGTCTAACTTATGAGAGCAAAAGCATACATGGAATTGGAGACCCCTTCTTCATCTCGGTTAAATGTGTGTTAAGCAGCAATAAATCCTCAATAAAAACCCAACTTGCTTATATATACAGGATGTACAGGAGGACTGCAGCTGTCACAATGGATTGACATGAGAGTGACGATGAGAGCTATCGGGATAGGTTTGTATGTTGAGGTACAATATCTTCTT